AAGACTAGCTTCCTGGTCAGTTTTTATGTTGTCATATATTTATAAAGTAATTCGTTCGATTTAGAGAATTAAAGAAAATACAAATTTATTTTTATTAAATTTTAATTATTATTTTAATGAAGATTGTACACCGTTGTCAAGTTATCGGTTAATAAGCATTTCAATTGGATGTTAGTACTTAGTACTAGGCTAAAAATTGTGCAATTTTATTAAACCAGCAATTTCTTTTTTTAAAAATTATTACAACACAAAAACTTACCAACATATTATATAACATTTAAAATAATGTTTTTTTTTTTTGCATTTTGATTATATTTTTATTCTTAATAGCTATACGCGCTGTATTTCTTTTTTCACAAATTCTCTAATAATAAATTGTGGCTTGATTATATTATAGTTCAACGTTTATTTAAAATACTATTTTTAATATACAATATACGCAATGTATATATACATATTCTTATATAAATTTATGTACCATAAATTACAATTATTTTCTTTTAAAGTGTATTTTTATATTTCTCTTTATATAATATTTATATATAAATTTCTTGTATATTCATTACTTATATATATAATTTTTATATATAAATTACATTAAATTATTTGTATATTGATACAATTCTTGTGATAATTTTTACAAACTTACCCACTTTTTCTAGAAAAAATAAAAAGTATCTAAAATTCTGTTCATAATTGTTTTGTTTTTGGTTCTGACTTTATTATTATCGTATAAAATTGTGCTATCCAACTTTTTCTTAGATTTTATTGCAGATATAAATCTCAATAGATTTACAAAATTTGTTTCCATAAAAACCAATAGTATATTTTTTACAGTTAAACATAAATATTAGTCAATTCAAAATCCTAGGCTTTCAAGTTATTTCTAATTAGTGCCACTGATCTTAACTTGGATTTGACAATTCGATTTTGAATTTTTTCTACTTCACCCTGTATACCCTGAGGATTTTATTAATAAGTCTTTATATTTTGTTAACAAAAATTCATATTGCATTTTGCATTAATTGTGACTGAAAAATATATTTTAATAAATATCTTTTTATTGGTTAATTGTTTATTAGCATAAAATTAGCAAATATTTTAATCAAATTTAAGATAATTAAGATTGGAAAAAATTATAATGTGCTGAAGTTTAGGTTATGACGACGACGGTGCTTATAGAAATCCACCTATTCCTATTGACCCATTGTGTTACTGTACCAAAATTGGAGAGTTTTGAATAATCCATTTTTAATTCAAATTTAAATTTTTGCTATCCTTATATGTACAATTATACTCGTATATTATTTTTGTGTTGATTTTTCAATATAATAGCAAACATATGAAATAATTAAAATTTATTTTTTTATTTTATAATATGTTATAATTGAAAAATTTACTATAATATTAAACAATTAACCAAAAAATTAAGTATAAAATTAAAACATTTTAGTATAAAACATATATATTCATTATATTAAAATATTATTGTAGATTGAATCCTTTATAAATATCTAATCCATAATCCTAAATCTAATCCATCCTCATCACATCACATTTTCTCTAATTCAATTATTTTGTTGATAATAGTTTTAAAAGAAGTAAAACGTAAATTTGTAAATATCATTTATTTTAAAAATAAATATTTTCTTCTTTTTAATATAGGTATATACTGTATAATGTCTCTTCAACCAAGCGTAAGACCACGTGTTCGTGTTCCTTCACCTCAACTTATGGGAAAAGTTGGTATTCGTCCTGTCATGACGTTTACGGGTCCCAGGGTTAGTATATCATTATTACTTTTGAACAGTTTCAAAAAAATAAATCAAAAAATATATATAATAAAAATATTTTATTATAAAAATATATTTAATAAATAAAACCTAATAAATATAAACCACAATAATTATCAAATTTTATTATAGATGTCTTTTCGACCAAGGATTCCACCTTCTGTTAACGTTGTTAATAGACCATCGGTAATTGCTGATACCTTTAAGCCACGCGGCGGTTCAATTTCTGTTCGTCCAAGGGCAATATTAGCATCACCCCAGGCTGCAAAGCCTGATTCTAATGATTCTGGTATTAAGACACGATATATGTTATTTATTTTTAGTACATTTATTTCAACCAAGTAAAAATAAGTATTAAATATATTCTAATTTTTATTTTTCTATATAAGTACCAAATTTGATTCGTCGTATTTTAATATCTCCATCTATTCCGCACTCGCCTTCAAATTTGTCGTCATTTTCGTCAACTTCAACTTCATCATCTAGTTGTACTCAAATTGAAAACTCCATAGCTAATCGTAATGTTTTTTTTTAACTTTTTTGTATTTAGTTTTTAGAAAATTAATAAAATATTTTTTTTATTATTTACTATAGTTGGTGTTGTTGCTGCTAAGCCGAGAGGTAATTTTGAAATAAATATGTTTTTAAGTTAAACACTTTACCAATTATTTCTTAAATTTTTTCTTTCAAAATAATTCTAGGCAAAGGGCATGGAGGACGTGGTATTTATAATATTTTATAAGAATATAAATAAAATACAAAATACTATATATAACATAATTTTTTTGTTTAATACATAATTTTGTTTGTTTTTTGTTTCTAATTAGGTGGACGTAATCGTGGTGGCCCGCATACACCGTTGTTGGATTCCTTGTTTACACGGCCACAAACTTGTGTTTCCAAAATGGGTGAAACTGGACGCCATGTTACTGTTGATACGAACTATTTCAAGATCTTAAAGAAACCCGAATGGAACATTTATCAATATAGAGTAGATTTTGTACCGGAAATAGATATGAGCTTTGTTCGTCGTACATTAATTCTCCAACATAAAGCAAAACTTGGTGGATATATATTTGATGGGACAATGCTTTTTACTACTAATGATTTAAGAGGCACTAAAAAGGGTCATTATCATGAATTCCATCTAACGTCTGAGTATCGTGATGGAAAGACAGTGCTTATTAAAATTAAACATGTTGGTATTGTCGATGCAAATGAGGCTCAACTGTTCCAAGTATTGAATTTAATCTTACGTCAATCAATGGGTGGACTGGATTTACAACAAATAGCTCGTCACTTTTTTGATCCTTATGCTAAGGTAAATGTGAATACAATTTTTTTTATATTTAATAATGCAACTACTAAATATTCTTAGGACTAACAAGAATTTTTAGTTTGATAAATTATAAATGTTTAAGCTAAGGTTTTATTACTTAATGAGATCAAAGGGAGATATTATACGTTTTAATCTCTGTGCTGAGTCAGTTGCGTTGATTAATTGACTAAATGATTACATAAATTATAAAAATTATTGACACGAAGAAAATTAAATCTTTGTGATTAATCCAAGAAGTTTACTTTAAAGTACAATTTTTTAAAAATCAAACTGAAGCAGAATATTTAACATTTATCAAAATCCTTTGCCCAAATTATGAATCAAATTCATTGATTATTCAGACCTATATATTACTACTCTTACTTTGTAATGTTCTCAAATTTATATTAGATATATTCATTTTAAAATAAACATATATCATATATAAATATATATTTATTTCACACCTAATATGTATACTTACAGATTAGCATTGACCCGTATCATATAGAAATCTGGCCAGGTTATATTACATCCATTCGTCAACATGAGCGGGATATTCTTCTCTGCACTGAGATTACACATAAAGTTATGCGCACCGATACTCTTTACACCATACTTCGTCAACTAACGGTCGAAACTAAAGACTATCAAAAAGCTTTTAAGACTGAAGTTATAGGTAAGCAACAGACATAATCTATGTTATACATATGAATACATGGATCTTATTTTATTTTAGGTTCTATTGTGTTGACGGACTATAACAATAAAACTTATCGTATAACTGACGTTGATTTTACGAGTTCTCCTCTATCGACATTTTCATTGAAAGATACAAAAGTTTCATTTGCTGAATATTTTAAATCGGTAAGTTTAGGTTTCACATATATACAATTATTACTATAAATAAAACCAATTATTATTATGTACAATAATAAAACAAATTGGGAACAAATAGTTCCCATTCTTTTAATAATTTATTATAATCCGTTTTAGCAATTTATCAGTAGTTAAGTAGTACAAGTATTATAGTACGACTATTATTAACAACTATTGCGATTATTATAACAGTAGGAAGCTGATAGCTATAAATTAAAAAATTTAGTAAGAGTTCATATTCTGATTTAAATAAGGCTAAAATAGTTCTTTGCATCCTTTACAATTGTATAACGATCCTATGCTTCTCATAGGAGTTAAAATTTATATATATAATTTATATATATAATTTACATATGTAATTCATATGTTTAATTTATATATATAATTTATATATATTCAATTGTATTACATTGAATAGTATAATATAATAATATAAATCATAATGTAGTTTGATAGTGTACATTATTAGAAGACATAACTATTTTATGTAGGTATCCAAAGGAACAAAACTTACCATATTTACAATTTTTAAAACTCTCATTTGAGCACAACAAACTTTTCTATCACATGCGTCCTACGTTCAAAAGGACCGAGGTGCTTTTCGGGATGTTTTTTCAATTACCACGCCACCAAAAACCAGCACCAAAAGTTGAAATTGAAGACCCAATCCTTGCTTTATGGACTCTTTCAAACAAATTTTCCTTCCAGCTAAGTTAAGTTTAGAGTTGAGTATGAGACCCAGATATTCTTGTTTAAGCTATTTTTATCTTGGTTAAGAAAAAGAAAGAAATTATAGGCCTACTAGTAAAGAGTATTACCTCATTTTTATGTTGAGTTAGTTATAAAACCATATTCACTATATCATTTTTTTTAGTGACTGACAAAGAGTTAATAATATTAGATAGTAACTGTGAAAATTTGTTCAATGCGTTGATAGCATATTCGTTCACATAAAAAAGTTATAGCTCTGCATCCAAATTATTTCAACATTATTATTTTATCATCATTGATTGTCATTATTACTATTAATTATCATCATTTTTATTATTAATGATCATTATAACCGATTATCATTTTTATTATTAATACTCATTATCACTGATTATCATTATTATTATTATTAATTAACATGATCACTTATTATCGTTTTTATTATTATTATTTATTACTATATTTATTTATTATTATTTATTATTATTATTTATTATTATTATCATTTTTATTAATAATTATTGTTAATATTATTATTATTAATTAATATTATTAATTATTATTATTATTATTAATAATTATTATTATTAATTATTAATATTATTATTAATTATTATTATTATTAATTATTATTATTATTAATTATTATTATTATTAATTATTATTATTATTAAGTATTGTTATTATTATTATTATTTTTATTTAATTCTCCTTAATGGGTTTTTTGGTAAGTTTTGGTGGCCTAAGCCAGTACAAAATATAACACAATATCTATATATTTATTTAAACTATTTTAACTAGTATTTGATTGGTATTTTAAATTAATTAATATTTAAAAATTTGCGAGTAATATGACAGGAATCAATTATAACACTTTTCTGGATGTCATCAATAATTCGCTGGTTTAATTCAAGTCTTCGAATATGCGACAATAAACTTTTTGGCGTTACACCTTCAGCACTAATTATAATTGGAAGAATTTCAATTTTGTTAAGGTTCCAATTACGTTTTGTTTCCACAGCTAATTCTGCGTATCGACTACATTTCTCAAAATAAGTACGATCCATGTTTTTGGTCATTGGTATTGCAACATCAATGAAGAGTCCTTCTCGACGTCTTTTATCAACAATAGTTATATCTGGTCTATTGTGCAACCTCGTGTGATCGGAATAAATAGTTCGATCGTAATAAATTTTTACGTCTGGATTATCATATACTGCTTGTGGTGTATACTTATAGTATGGAACATTTTCTCTATCAATAAGTCTATATTTATTGCATATTTGCTTATGTAAAATATTAACCACGTTATTGTGTCTCTTTGTATATTCTCTTTGTGCTAAGCATGTACATCCTGCCAGTATGTGATCTACAGTTTCCGTTTGTTCTCCACATTGCCGACATTTATCACTAATTAGCGAAGGGTCTGACATTATAAATTTGCAGTAATTTCTTGTCGGAATTACTTGGTCCTGTATTGCAATCATGAATGCCTCAGTTTCAGCAAATAGTGTTCCACATGTAAGCCATTTGTGCGACATAATTTTATCGACATTGTCGGCGTTAGTGGATCTATAATATCTTCCATGTAGCGGTTTGATTGCCCAAGCTTGCTCTTTACACTGCCGATCTTGTGCTTTTCTTTCAAAAGTTCCTTCCAAATTTAATGGTGTGTAATGCTTGTCTGCTTCGGTTAAAATTTTAAACAAGATATCATTTTCTGCGTTCTTTAAAAAATATTCTCTCATTGATATAATTTGATTGTCGTGTAGTTCTTGTAGATCAATAAGGCCTCTACCTCCTTCCTTTCTAGGCATAGTCATTCGCTCACAACATGACTTTGGATGGTGGAATTTGTATTCTGTGAGCATAGTTCGTATTTTTCGCTGCATCGCTTGTATCTCAGTCGTTGTCCATTGTATTATTCCGAAACAATAAGTCAGAATGGGAATAGCAAAAGTATTGATGGCTTTTATCAAAGATTTACCCTGCAAATTCGTCTTGGCTATCTTATGAATACGTCCTTTAAATTCACTATATACTTTGTCTTTTACAGCTTTATGTGCTATTCTTCTGCTTTGAGATACACCAAGATATTTGTACAGTTCGTCTTCTTCCATGTCTTTAATAATCGATTCATTTTGCTCAAAATTTTCGAATTTAACGATTTTTCCACGAACAATACTGATTTTTCTGCATTTTTCAATGCCAAACTTCATTCTAATGTCATTACTGAAGTCCTCGACTATTTTAATAAGCTTACATATCTAAGGTTTCTCGCGTCGAAGCATATATCTTTAAATCATCCATATACATGAGATGATTTATTTTACATTCTCGAGAATTGCCTTTAATTTTGAAGCCATACTTTGCGTTCCTTAAGAGATTACTTAGCGGATTTAGCGCCATACAAAACCACAAGGCTGACAGGCAGTCACCCTGAAAAATTCCTTGTCGAATACTTATTTCATCTGTTCGTATGACACCATTTTGAGTGAACATTTCTATGTTTGTTCGCCATCTCGTCATGTTGTGTTCAAGAAAATTAACAATAGTTGAATGAATACCGTATATATTCAGGACTTCAATCAGCCAACTGTGCGGGATACTATCGAAAGCCTTCATGTAATCAATAAAACACATGTGCAGGTTTCTATTTTTCTTAGCTGCTTGTTCCAATATTATTTGGTCAATTATTAGTTGTTCTTTACATCCTTTTGCGTGTTTTTTGCATCCCTTCTGTTCTACGCACATTATATCGTTTTGTGTAAGGTATGTATTTATAAGATCGCCAATACAAGCAGTCAGTATCTTATATATTGTTGGGAGGCAAGTAATTGGACGGCCATTTGCTGGGTTTCCTTTAAATCCATTATTCTTCGCCATTAGATATGTTTTTCCTTTCGTAAAAATGATTGGAAATGTTGCGGGGTTTTGTAGACATTCATTTAAAAGTTCAGTTAATTTTTGATGGACTGCAGTAAATCTTTTAAACCAAAAGTTTTGTATGTGATCTGGTCCAGGAGATTTCCAGTTGTGTGTTTTTGCTATAATTCGTTTGACCTGATCACATGTAATTAGACAAGTTGACATTTTTTTTTCTTGATATTTCTCTTTCTCTTTTTCAATCCAATGAGCGGATTCATTATGTTTTTGTGTATTGGACCACAGTGAACTCCAGTAATTTTCTGCACTATTCTTACTTGGATATACGTCGTCTGACGTATTGGTATTGGATCGTATTTTTCTATAGAATTGCTTTTCGTTGTTGTTAAAGAGTCTATTGTTTTCTCGTCTTTGATTCGACAACTTGTATTTACGCTGTCTCGCTACTTGTACACATAGTTTCTGTTTTATAGTGTCTCTTGTGTTAATAATATTCGTGTGATTTGTTTCGTAGCGTGTGTGAAGATTGTATGTTTTTAATATCTTATTGATCCTGTTTTTAAGTCTTCTTGTAGGATTACCTTCAATGTACTTATTTATTCTTTCTAAGTCTCCTCTTAAATGATCAATTTTAATTTGTATTCTTCGTAGCGTATTACTTTTATTTCCATAAATTGCAGCTCTTCGTGGTCCATCTCTGGGTTGTCCTATCTTGCATCCCATTGTAGTAGCAATTGTTATAGCTGATACATATACAATAGTATGTAATTCTGCAAATTGCTCACATTGTTCAGTTTTGTCAGGATCGCATCATTGTTAAGTGTTTCAATAAGAAAACTTAGCTTCTTACTAGTATTAATTTTCGGAATGCGTGGCCTTAAAAGAGGGTTAAGGTTACTGTAAATGTCAAATTGTTGTTCAAAAATCTCATTTAAGCTATGCTGATTACTTCTAAGTCTCATTTGTTCATTACTTACATCTTCCTGCTGATCCGTGGTTTCATCGACATCAATTAAATTTACATTTAAAGCAGGAGGTGGTTGTTCATTTTCCACTTCTATCGTATTTACATTATTACGTGTTCCTGGTACATGTACGTTTGTAGAAGTATTAGTTGATTCAAATTGCACTTGCTCATTTTCTGCAGTTTCTGTCGATTGATCATTACTTACTTCGGCAACCGATTCTTTGATAGCGTTTCGTCTTGATTCTGGTATAAGATTGTTTCTATGAATAACCCGTACTTGATCTGCTAGTCGCTGTTCGGATACATTATAGTCCGGATGGTGCCCAACGAATATTGTATGTAGTGTAGTTCGATATGCTGTCATATCTCTTTCATTGTTTGTAGCTATATAGTAGGCGCGTAATAAATCTTCATTTATAGTATAAGTCCATTTTCTGCGCTGTCGTGGTCTGCCAGCCACGGTAAGAGCTATATCGGAATGTATATGCTGTTCACCGGACTGCAAAGGTGTTCTATTTCTGTTGTTCTGTGGCATACTTGTCGAACAGGACCCAGGTACCAAATCCTGCACGCGAGAGTTATGCGATCCCGACGCGGTGGGGTTATCCGATCTCCCCAGATTTACATTATTTTGTGACTGCATTGTGTACTATTTGTTCACACCTCGTAGTACACGGGGTGGTATTTTATACCTACTACCAGGTATATCGTCCAGCCGCTCCTAACATGGAGTCAGACACTGACCTAAAAGCCGCCCATTCTGAGTCAGTCGCTTTAGGTTTTTTATTTAAATCCCAGCCGCACTAAATAGCGAAAACAGACGTTGAGATAGGAGGGTTTTAGAGATTTTGGGGGAGACACTTATTCAAAGGCGGTGTCAGCTCGCCTTGTCGAGGTTGGATTCGAATCTTGTGATCTTTTCTTGGAGATAAAAGAGCCCCTTCGTTTACCCCAATCACATTCATAGACAGCCTCCGCTCATTGTCCGGGACTGCTTATTTAATTTTCATCTTATTCGCAGCTAACCATCATATCTGATGGCCATTCCATTATCCGCAACCTATGGACCCGTCCGCTTGCCTGAGCTCGGCATCCCACGGTACCTTCCAATTCCGTGGGGCGGATTATTATTATTATTATTATTATTATTATTATTATTATTATTATTATTATTATTATTATTATTATTATTATTATTATTATTATTATTATTATTATTAAGTATTGTTGTTCTTATTATTAATTATCATTATTATTACTATTATTATTCATTATATATTTCATCACTATTCTCATTATTAATTAAACAAATAAATGATGTATTATAATGTTCGAATTGTGAAAGATAATCTAATATAAAAGATTTTAGATATATATATATATATATTTATAGTACATATACTAATGCACCTTTGAAATGTTCCAATATTTGTAGCGTTATAATCTAATCATAACCGACTCCAGTCAACCAATGTTAATATCGAAACCAACCAATAAGCATATACGTGGTGGTCAAGAAGAATTTATCTCATTGATTCCTGAGTTCACGCGTGCAACTGGTATAACTGATCATATGAGAACAAATATTCGGTAAGTAATATTTTTTCTGTTATAACAACAGATGAACTGTTAACATATGCCTTTGGTATTTTATTTTAGTTTCATGAAATCGATGAGCGATCATACTCGGCTCAATCCGGAAATGAGACTTCAACGCTTGAGAAATTTCAACGAACGTCTCAATTCTTCTGCTAAAAGTACAGAGGTTCTTAAAGAGTGGAATATGAAATTGGATAATGATTTACTTAAAATTCCAGCACGTATTTTACCCTGTGAAAAAATCTTACTAGGTCATGGTGTTCGGTATATATGTGATGAGAAAGCTAACTGGACCCGCGAGTTCCGAAACTGTTCAATGTTTTGTAATGCCGAAATTAGTCGTTGGCAAGTAATCCTCCCATCACGTTGTTGTCGTGAAACTCAATTGTTTGTTCAAATGTGTATTAAAGTAGCAAGAAATATGAGTTTAGTACTGGCCACACCAAAATAGTAAGTACTTATAAATAACTATAAATTATATCATTTAATATTAAAGACGAAAAGGTATTAATATTTTTATATACATTGAATTTATTTATTGAATGTTTTTGCTTAAAGACTAACAATAAGTATTTGAACCTTAAAACTACTTATATATATGTTTATCAAGTCAATTGATTCCTTGTCAGTAATATTGCAGGAAACTGCAATGTTTAGTTTAGTTGTATTTGTGAAGGGAATGAACATTGTCACTTGTTTGAGAATTTTTTAAGAGGACTCTAAATATGACGACAAGCTTGAATAACCTAATATGCGATTTTTCCGAATGTTGTGGGCCTGAAACGGGCGGCAGTAAAATTTGTTCTGTTGCTTCTACAACAGTTCAAGAAAAACTTACTCTTGCTTTATTACCCAAGCCATTCTAACATTCTTGTCTCCATTCATGGCACTTTATAACTTAAAAACCGTTTAACAATGTACTTCAATAAAGTATGGAATGAAATAAAGAAATTAAGATAAATACGAGATCATATCTCATAACTTTAACAATTCGACGCCTGTCATTAAATATACTTGACGTTATGGAAAATCAGAATATTCACCTTCAGAGTGTAATTTAAACTTTATTAAATGCACCTGCTCAGTGCGCATTAATAGTTTAACAAGAAATTGTCTTAGAAATAATTAATTAGAAATAATTAACCTTAAATTTATTTGCTTTGTTTGTTTTTAACTTATATAGCATTGAAATGGATGACGATCGTAACAACTCTTATACAACTGCAGTGGAAATGGCAACCTCAGAGGATCCTCAAATTTTAATGATTGTTATTCAACAACCCAACGAGGAAAAGTAAATATATACGAATAATATACATATATCTATATAATTTCATTATTATAATATGTTCCAGGTACTCTGTCATTAAAAAGAAGTGTTGCATCGATCGACCTGTAGCTTCACAAGTTGTTACTATGAAAATGATAGCACCTACTTCAGAAAAAAGTGCAGGTTTAATGTCAATCGCTACTAAAGTTGTCATACAA